AAATTCTGGGGGTTTGGAACCCAAATTCAGGGCTTGGAACCCAAGTTCAGGGGTCTGAACCCCAAATTCTGGGGTTTGGAACCCGAATTCAGGGGTTTGGAACCCAAATTCAGGGGTTGGAAGCCAAATTCAGAGTGTTTCGAACCCAAATTCAGAGTGTTGGGAATCCAGATTCTGTAGATTTGGAGCACAAATTCAGGGGTTTGGGAACCCGAATTCAGGGCATTTCAACCCAAAATTGAGGGGCTGGGAACTCAAATTCGGGGGGGTTGGAACCCAAATTCAGGGATTTTGGAACCCAAATTCAGGGGTTTGAACCCCAAATTCAGGGGTTGGAATCCCAGATTCAGGGGTTTGGAACCCAAATTCAGGGGTTGGAATCCCAGATTCAGGGGTTTGGAACCCAAATTCAGGGGTTGGAACCCAAATTCAGGGGTTTGAACCCCAAATTCCGGGGGTTTGGAACCCAAATTCAGGGGGGTTGGAACCCAAATTCAGGGGTTGGAACCCAAATTCAGGAGTTGGAACCCAAATTTAGGGGGCTTTGAACCCCAAATTCAGGGGTTGGAACCCGAATTCAGGGGTTTGAACCCAAATTCAGGGGCTGGAACCCAAATTCAGGAGTTGGAACCCAAATTCAGGGGGGTTTGAACCCCAAATTCAGGGGTTGGAACCCAAATTCAGGGGTTTGAACCCCAAATTCAGGGGTTTGAACCCCAAATTCAGGGGGTCTGAGCTCCAAATTCTGGTGGTTTGGAACCCAAATTCAGGGGTTGGAACACAAATTCAGGGGTTTGAACCCTAAATTCAGGAGTGTTGGGAATCCAGATTCAGGGGTTGGAACCCTAAATTCTGGGGGGTTGGAACCCAAATTCAGGGGTTTGGAACCCTAAATTCAGGGGTTGGAACCCAAATTCAGGGGTTTGAACCCCAAATTCTGGGGGTTTGGAACCCAAATTCAGGAGTTTGAACCCCAAATTCAGGGGTTGGAACCCAAATTCAGGGATTGGAACCCCAAATTCAGGGGTTGGAACCCCAAATTCAGGGGGGTTGGGACCCAAATTCAGGGGGTTTGGAACCCAAATTCAGGGGTTTGGAACCCAAATTCAGGGGGGTTTGAAGCCCAAATTCAGGGGTTTGGAACCCAAATTCAGGGGTTTGAACCCCAAATTCAGGGTTTTGGAACCCAAATTCAGGGGTTTTGTCAGGCACTGCTGTCACATTGGGGTCCCACTGGTGCTGGGGGGTCCGGGCTCACCCAGGAGAGCCTCAGGGGGACCCTGCTGTGCCACAGGGGGACACTGGGACAGCCTGGGCACAGCCCCACACGCTGTGCCAGCCGTGTGCCCAAACACACCCAGGCGCGCCCCAAAGCCCGGGGGCACCTCCCGGGGCCACCACCCCATGGCACCACCCCAGGGCCCCGAGGAAGGGTGGCAGAGGAAGCTCCTGGCCAGGAGGAAGCTCTGCCAGAGCCAGGATGTGAATAACCAGCAGCCAGCAGCATTTGGGGCCGGCACATTGNGAAGCAGCTGGAGGCCGAGACAGTGCAAGGACCTGCTGAATTCCTGCCCCAGATCTTTCCCAGAGTTTCCCTCCTGCCATGAGTGTGGCAGCAGCCGGGAGCCTTTGCTCCTGCAGGGTCTGCCCTGGGACAGGATCCCAGCAGCTCCAGGGATTTGGGGTGACACCAGGGGGGTACCTGGGTCACACTGTCCCCAARGAGGGTGACTCCACCTCAGGGGACAGCAAGCTGAGCTCCTCCTGCCTGGCAGGAGATGAATTCCCCGTTCAGGCAGGGATGAGCCTGGCCCATGGGTGTAGAGGGGTAATTTTTCACTATCAGCCCATTAAAGCCTGTTTGTCTCCCAACGCTGATTCCGAGATTGATGGATTAATTACATCCTGCCCAGCTTGGAGCATAATTGATATTTGTGAGTGCAGCTCACAGAGCTCAGCAGAAAACCTGGCAGCTTTTCCAYGGGATGTATTGCAAACCARAACCAAACCCTTGGGATTTAATGGRGATGGAAGAACTGGTTGTGATAGTGCTCGGTGAAAGATTTGGATAAGGTGTCTGTGCAAAACAACTCCACCTGGATAATTCCTGCCCCGTGCTTGTTGATCTGATGCACATTCCATCTCTCCTGCACCTCGTTTTGTTTATGACACATTGCAGGAATCACCCTGATATCTGATATTGCAGTATCACATCTCCTGGTACTCGAAATACAACAAAAATAAACAGCTCTTGCTGYGGTGTGAATGGGAGAAAAAGGAGAGTTCGTCACCTGCACAGGAATATTTAGGGTGGTTTCTAAATATTAATGAGCTCTAGAGGTGYCTGTACCTACCCATCTGCTCACATTTCAAAGTTATTTAAAGAACTAAAAGTTAGAGGCCAAGTTTCCAAGTTAAGAATAATAACCCATCTTCTGACCCACAGAGTAGGGTAATATAAAAAAATACCTATAAGTATACATATATTATATATTTCTTATTTTAGAGGAGGTTTTCTAGTTTTCTGGAGCTGTAAATACTCATTATTGAACAGCCACTGGCCAAGCTGCTGTCACGGGCTCTCTAAACCACCTGGACATTAAATAGTATAATAAAACTATATAAACTATATATATAAACTATATAAAACTATATAAAACTATATAAAATTATATAAAATTACATAAAATAGTATAGTAAAACTATATAAAACTATATAAAACTATATAAAACTATATAAACTATATAAAATTATGTAAAATTATATAAAATTTTACAAAATAGTATAGTAAAACTGTATAAAATTATATTTTATATATATACACATACATACATATAGTAAAAAGTATAAAGTAAACCCGAGTTTCTCACCTGTACTGCCTTATCTCCTTTTTCCAGAGTGACAGCAGCTTTGACTATTTATCTGTGGAAGAGAAGGAGTGTTTGATGTTCCTGGAAGAAACCATCGGCTCTCTGGATGCGGAGGGAGACAGCGGCGTCTCCACGGATGACACCGACTCCGGGGAGCCCTCCAAGCCCAGGAGAGGCSCCGTGCCCCGGGGTGAGCTGGAAACCCGAGGGAAAGGTCCTGGCAGGGAGGGAGGGGGCTGGATGAGGCACAGGGAGTTCCCATCGAGGGTTCCATATGTTCTCTCCTGCTCTCAGGTGTGCAGCAAACCCAGCAGAACCGCATTGTCTGKGCTCTGAACGCGCTCACAAGGGTTAAAAATGCTCCTGGGTTTGGTCAGACCCAAAGGATCCCGAGCAGTGATGGGTCCGTGGTGTCGGRGACAGCTCTGGGTGTTCGCCCCGGCCACCCCTGCGGACACGGAGCTGCCGTGTCCGTGTGCAAGGCATGATTTCGTGTCCCTCTTTCCGCAGATTTGAGCCGTGGGGCTGCCCCTCCCGGCCCCTCTGCCTCCCCCGGCGTCCCGAGGAACATCCCTGCGGCAAACGGAGCCTCGGGCAGCAGAGCAGCGCCAGCTGTGCCAGCTGTGCCAGCAGCAAATCGTGCCCAGGACGGGCCCAGGGAGGGCACCAAATCCGTGATTATCCAACCCTCAGATCCCTTCCACGATGAGCACGAGTGGACACGCGGCCATCSCTCCGGTGMCAAGGACACCAAAGYTCGGACTTCGTGGGGTCASCCGGAGAAATCCCCGCTGGAAGAGSCMCCTCAGGACCCCGATGCCAAGCGCGGGCCCCCGACCGCCCCCAAACCGCGGAAATTGCCCCCGAACATCATCCTGAAAACCAGCAGGAGCGGCGCGGTGCCGCTGCCCTCGGAGCACAACCAAAGGGTGAAAACATCGCCGCCACCCCCGGCCGCCTCCCAGCCCAGCCCCGCCGGCGACACCGCYGCTGAGAAAGGCAACTCGGGCCACCGAGACCCCAAGGAGAAGGAAAAAGCCCGGCGGGAGGCGCTGGAGAAGCTGGGACTGTCCCGGGACGGGAGSGAGCCGAGCGCTCAGCCCCATCCGCATCCTSTCCCCATCCCCGCCGAGAGCTCCGTGCCCGGTGTCCGGCACATGGCATTCAAATCCAACACCCTGGAGCGCTCCGGAGTGGGGCTGGCCAGCTCCATGGGCAGCAGCAAGGAGCAGAGCTCCAAGGGAAGCGGCGGCAGCAGCTCCYTGGGCAAGCTGTCCTTCATGGAGCGCCTGGCACCCGCTTTCCTGCGCGGCGGCCGCCCCCGGCCCGTCTCYCTGGGTGCTGGAAAAGACTTTGCCGGCCTCCAGGAGCACGAGGAGCAGGAAAAGAGCAGCAAGAGGAGATCTCACCCTCTGCCCGGCTTYCCCAGACCGTCCCGCTCGGCTGTGAGCGTGAAAATCACCCCGAAAGGCGCGGCYGACGAGAACCGGCGAGAGGCGCTCAAGAAGCTGGGGCTGCTGAAGGAATAGCGGCGGGTGCTGGTGGAAAAGGGGCTTTTCGCCCCAAATTCACGGATTTCACTGCCTGGCCTCGGGCACGGCCGCTCCAGTGCCTCGGGAAGGGCGTTGGGATCCTCACACCAAACCAAGGAGCGCCAGTGTACAGATATTTTGTACATAGCGGATGTAAATGAGCTATTTATACAAAGCATCTCTCAGCATGGACGGGCTGCGTCCTCCTGCAAGGGTTTTAATGCTTTTGGGGATTCATCTGAACAGGGAAGCCGTGGAATTGGGGGTTTGGTTTATTTTCAAAGGGGTTGCCTGTGGATAAAGCGYCTCTGGGAAGAACTGCCGGACTTTGCTGCTCCTTTGGGACTTTTTTGGGGTTTTTTAAAATTAATTTTATCACAGCCTCTGCAGCCTSAGCTGAAAGTGCCTCCTGAAGCTGCCACTGCCTGCTGGAGGGGCTGCACAGACATGACACTGCCTCCTCTGCCTCTCCTCTGCCCCTTCCAGCCCCTGGACGATGTTCGAGCTGCAGGAAGGGAGAGTGAAGGAGGAAAAAGGACATCAGTGCTGGAGTCAGACCCAGAAATGCTGCCCGAAATGAGGCAGATTCCAGGCTGGGATCCTGGGATCAGCCTGGCTGATGCCGACACCTTGCTGCTCACCCGTGGGGATGGAGGTGGTTTGTGTCCCTAATAAACCTGTGCATGATCAGAAAGAGCTGTGCAGTGCAGATTCGTGTGTCAGACAGGTAAATCCAAATACTGAGAGTTCTGAGACAAAAGATGAGCCGGGTCAGCTCTGTCCCACCTGTAAAATGTAAAATTTTATCAGCAAAAGCAAAATTTTCCATGGAATAATCTGGTATGGAGGAAAGGGGCCCTGCACATGGCAGGGGTGGGACAAGGAGAGATTGAAAGTCTCTTCCAGCTCAAATTATTCTGTCATTCTGTCATTCTGTGACTCTGTTTCTGTGTTTCTGACTCTCTGACTCTGTGATTCTGTGATTCTCTGATTCTCTGTTTCTCTGTTTCTGTGATTCTCTGATTCTCTAATTCTGTGATTCTTTGATTCTCCGATTCTCTGATTCTGTGACTCTGTGATTCTGTGTCTCTGTGACCCTGTGATTCTGTGATTCTCTGATTCTGTGTTTCTCTGATTCTCTGATTCTGTGTGTCTGTGACTCTGTGACTCTGTGTTTCTGTGTTTCTCTGATTCTCTGATTTTCTAAATCCCGGCTCCCCCTCCAAGCCCCGGGGACTGTGGAATTCCTGGCAGGCTGGAACCAGCCTGAT